AGGGGATGGGAGACGCTGTCTGGGCCCCTGGAAATGGGCGGCATGGCACACTGCGGAGCCATGCCCCCCGCCTCGAAGGCTGCTCTGTCACGCTCAGCTCCTCACAACAGATGAATCAAACCTCGAAATCTAAGAAACGGGTCCGCAGCTTTGCCCCGGCAGCGATGCTTCGGACGTGGTGTGTATCGTTAATCTGTTTTTATCTGGAAGTTACTTATCTGCTGCTGGGCATCCTGGTTTTTTCCTCGCCTGAACTAGCGGCACATGTTGATAGTGATTTTCTAAGAATTCCTCCCAATACCACATCTCTCCCCGGTGGTCGAAGACACCTCTGAGCTTCTTGCTCGATCGCGCCCTTTCGGCCGCGTCTCCGACCGGACGCATCCTCGGGTACCCTCTTCGTGTACCGGCAACGGCGGCTGCAATGGGAAGGGGCAGGAAACCGATGACAATTAGATCGGTTACAACGCTAATGAAACGCATTGATGTTTAATGATTTTTTTTTAAAAAAAACCAAACCCAAATATTTAATTTTTTCCTGGGAAGCAACTCTTGATTGTGCGTTGTGCTGTTACGTGCAAGGAATGGGACCACGGGGTTAAGCAAAGGCGGCTGCTTTTCGTGGCTGTACGGGGGATATAAAACATGAACACCCCACCACCACCACCACCACCCCCCCGCCATTGCACAGGTCCTGCGGTTTGAATGAATACCGGTGGCCGCAGCGACGTCCCCCGCGCAGGTTTGGGCGGGTGTCCCTCGAATAACCCTCCTCTCCCCTTTCTCTCCCCAGCGGGCGCCAAAGCCCTGGTCTGCGATCAGTGCGGCGCCCAGTTCTCGAAGGAAGACGCCCTGGAGACGCACCGGCAGACGCACACCGGTACGTGGCCCTCCCTTCCCCTCCTTCGCTTAGGCGCAAGTTTAATATTTAGGCTGCCTTGGTAACCTTTTGCCCAACGGAGAGCTTAACCCTTTGCGGTTCCCGCTTCTGACCTGCCTGGGTCCGTTTCTCGACTTTAATTTGGTTAAGGTAAGTCAGCTGCGTTTTCTGCTGAACTCTCAGTTGGAAATGGTTCTGTACTTGCGTTGAAATCCGTGCGTGGCATTTGCAAAGGGAAACCTCCCCAAATGGTTTTTGGTTTTGGCTTATTTCGGTCTGTTTTTGCTGAGCTCGTAACGGTGATGTTGGTGGAAGGAGGAGCACAACCCGCCTCTGTGGTTAAACCGAGCATCCTTGCACCGCTCGCTGGTCACCCTTGCTTTCTCAAGCCATGCGCACCAAAATTTGACCAGCATGACGGCGCTTGGCCACCGTTTCAGGTTTAAGGGAAGCTTCCCAAGGGATAAATACCCTTGTCAGGAGTGTTTGGATGCTCGGGAGCCCGAGAGCGATGAGTTACAAATCATTTGCAAATCCCAGCCTATGCTGATAGTTGTGTTCCCGTTTTTCAAAGCATTTATAGGGATAGTGGCGTTGCGTCTGGAGCTCTGGGGCGGTTTCGTTGCGCTGCTGCAAGGTGTGTGCGTGGGTGCAAGCGTCCGCTGGGCGGTCAGACTGTGCAGTGGGCGTGCAGCCGCTCGTAGGAAAGGATGCTCGGGGACCTGGGACCCGAGGTCGGGGCTTTGTGGAGGGCTGGACCCAGCTGTGCACAGAAAACCTCTTTTCCCTGTGCTCATATGTCTTTAAGACCCTGACCGGAGCGGTTGCTGTGGCCGAGCCTTCCCTGGCTCTGCAGCTTGGGCAACGAATTCTGCATCTTGGCACCTGTGCTTTGCAGGAGCGAGGTAGCCCCAGCTCCTCTTCCACTAGAACACGGGTACGAGGCAGCAGTTCGCACGGCGCCATTGCATTTATTGCTCAGCGTTAGCGTATGCACGTGAGAAACGATGGCGCAGCAAATGCAAGGTCATTTGTTTCCTCTGCGAGCAAAACACCGGCCCTTTCCAAACGGCTCTCAGCAGTTGGCTTCTGCCACGTTTCTGCTGTTGCACTTCCCAGCCCCTCGGCGTAGCTGCCGTCGGGGAGCACAAGGAGCTCTTTATGCATCTTGCAAAGGCCGCCTTGCCCAGGAAGGGTTTGCTACGGGGCACGGGGGGAATTTGCGGCCGGGCGGTCCCAGGTGGAGCCTTTCAGACCCCCAGAAACAGGCTGGAGCAGGGAAAAGCGCCTGCTCCTCCCCGTGCTATATTAGGAGTGGTTTAACCGAGCACAAGCTCGTCTTTCAGTGCTGAAAACCCTGATAAATGTCACTAACGGCCGAGTTTGCGCTTGGAGGTGGCAAGGCGACGGGCGCGCCCTGGGCTGGGAGGGAGAGCCCGGCCGGTTTCATGCCGGGGGTTTGAGGACCGACCGGCGATACAGAGTGCTGTGTCACCGGGTGGGAATAGCTCCGGCCGTCATCCGATCTGGGAGCTTGTGCTGGCCGAGCACCAGTTCCTAAATTGTAAAGTAATTGCCCTCCTTACCCCAGAGTCGTTCGGCTGGAGGCCGGACTTTTCAAACCACGGTCTTTTTTAAAAACCGCGTGCACTGTAGGTTAAGGAGGAGGAAAAGGCTTGCGACGGGGCAGCCAGCAAAGCCAGGGGACTGACTCTGCTCGGGGGATGAGCGACCCGAGCCCAGGCAGGGAGTTAAAGGTGGCTGAGCAAGCAGCAGCTACCTCCCGGTTTCCTTACGTATCCTGGACCCGTTGAGCTTCCCAGGGCGGTGGGTGGGAGCCTGGCTCCCCTCGGTACCCGGGGCTCCGTCACCCCAGGCGTGACATCAGGAGCGGATGCCGTTGAGCGGCTATTTAACGACGCCTGCACCCAAAAACGTCCCGCGGATGCAGAGCACGGTTTTGCTAACGACCTTGACACTTCTGCAGGGATTAAAGCCCCTTTGGTTGCTGAAACCTGGGGGCTGGACCACGCCGAAGCTCAAAGGGCAACAGGAAAACGGAGCGCGGGGGACGCGGTGACCCAAGCGGAGCGGGTTTATCATCCCCGCCTCCAGCTGTAAACACGAGCGGCTCGGTTACGTGGCGGAGAGGGGCTGGGTGGCCAGGGCAGCCGAAATGAATCGCTTCCTCTCCTCGGGTGGCAATGCAGAGAGCCCTGCCCTGGCACGGAAAGCATCCCTCCCCTGCCGTCGCTATAATTAACCCCGTTCCCAAATAACGGCAACTCCCAGAACGGATTTTTTTTGGGGTGTCCTCCCTTCATCCTTAGCGGCAGGTTGGTTGGCAAAAGACCTGCCAACTTTCCAGACAGAAAAATAGCCCTTTTTGGTAGATGTGCAGGATCAAGGCTGGCATCAAAAACTGAGCAGGGTGTATCTGGTACAGGCTGACCAAACGTACCCACTTTGCTCAAAAACACGGTGTTTAGGGGAGGATGCGGGACCCGTCTGCAAACGGTGGCTGGCTTGTCCAGATGACCGACAGCTTGAGAGCCTTTCTGCAGTGGGTGGCCAAGATAAAGGGTTCTCGGGGTTTCTTTTCAGCATGTGGGGCTGTTTCTTGGGTGAACGGTCAGGATCCAGGACCCCCCTTTGTCTCGCTTGGTTTTTTTTTTCCCATTGCCCTCACTGCTCCTCTGAACGACAGCGCAAAATACGACGCCAGCCGGGTGTACATGTGCTGCATCGAACACTGCCCGCCTCTCACGGCAGAAAACCTACGTCCTGCTTTCTGATGCAAGGTAAAAAAATAATAATAAGAAAGAAAGCAAGAAAAAAGAGTTTCTGCTTGTAAGCACAGGGCTGGCTGTGTGCTGTGTACAGCCCGGCCGACTCGGGACTGAGACGCCCTCTCCGGGTGTTCACTGTCCTTGGCCCCCGTCCCGCGGCAATAGGAAAAGCAGCAACTGTTTTGGCTCATCTTCCAGCAGGGCAAGCTCGGTGCCACGCTGGAGGCAGAGCGTGGAAAATTCCTTGCCCTTCTCCTGAAACGTAGAGGAAAAAACAAAACGCGTCGAGGAGACAGCCCAAGGACCCCCAGCAAGCGCCAGCGGGGCTCGGGATGCTCGCACGGCTGGTGTTTGTGCTAACGGGGTTTGGGCTCGCCGCCCACTTTTATAAATATCAGAGGTGACTCGTCTTGAGTTTCCTCCCGTGTGCCAAGGCAATTAACGCGCGCGAGCGTGTACGCGCTGGGCAGCCGGTGTCAGTCAGCGGGCCAGCATGGATTTGCTCCTGACCCAGTTTCACGTGGGCATGCTCGACGCCTAATATAGAGTGTATTTTCTTCGGCGTGCAGTCGGCTCTTGGATTTGTGGGGTCGGCGTGCCCCCGGCCGCTCCGCGGAGGATGCGCGGGAGCCTTCGCCCTCCCCTGCCTGCACCCCACGCATCCCCCGGCTGGCGATGCCGGCACCGGGATGCAAGTAGCAGAAAATAAAACCAACGTGTAACTGAAAATTGAAAAGCTATAAATCTGTGGGCCCCCCCCCTTTTTTTTTTCTTTTTTT